TAATATCTTTGCTAATCTTCAAGTTGTGAAGACAAATGAACTTTTCAAAATTACATGTTCACAGTCTGTGTATATATATATATAGCACATCAATTTGAAAAATTTCTGTCCTTCTACCATGAATATGACTTATGTACATGAAGAAAATCAAAGTTAGTAGGAAAACTCATGCATTAAAACAATGAATATAAGGTATTTTTCATAGGGTATACTTCCCAGAAGTGTAAACAAATAAAAATGACATTAAAACGTAACTCTACCGCATGAAAGTGAGAAATATATTTCAATTCACCTTATTTAATTAGAAGATAGTACATATTGTTTAAACTCAATGGCTGCAACAAAAATATATTATGCTAATGTTTTTATAATGAAGACTACATACACATAATTTAGATATTTATAAGAGGTTAACTAAAGAACACATTATAGGTATTTCTCTATGGTAGCACTGTTCCTAGAAAATTTATGAAATGTTGAGATTAAAATTTTTCACTAAATTTATGTAAGTCTTTAGTACATGATGAATTTTGAAAATAGGCATATTTTTTTTCTCAGTGTGACTTCATGTATTTCATTAAGATTATTGAATATGTTGCCCACATTGTTTAGAGGTTTCCAAATCAGTGTGACATCTAAGCACATAAGGACTAATAAAATTTTTCTCCCTGTATTTTACTTAAATTTACACACCTGTGTGAGTTCATGTCTTTGAGAATATTTGTGTAAACATTCCCACATTTCACACAAAGGTTTTTCCCCCAGTGTGAGTCCTTTCATGTCACTAGTAACATTTGTGTGTACTAAATCCCTTCTTCCACCACTTGCACACCCAACATGGTTTCTCCCCAGCATGAACTTTCTTGAATTTCACAATGCTTGTGCATATGTAGCAAAACCTTTCCCACATTGCTTACATATATAGGGTTTCTCCCCAGTGTGTGATCTTTCATGAATCAGACAGGTACTTTGTGTGCTGAATACATTTCCACATTCTTTACTTGCATAGTGTATCTCCCTACTGTGAATTCTTCGATGCCTTTTAAATTTACTATTGGCTGAATGTATTTCCAAATGTTTTAAATTCATAGGGTTTCTTCCCAGTGTAGCTTCCTTCATGTATTTTATAGTAACTCAAGAGTAGGGAGTACTCTTCCATTTTTTCACATACATATTGTTTCTCACCAGTGTGATTTCTTTCATGTTTCTTACAATAACTCAGTCGAGTGAATGTTTTCCCACACTGTGTACATGCATAGGGTTTTTTCCCACTGTGAACTCTTTCATGTATTTTACAATAACTCAGTGTATTGAATGCTTCTCCACATTTCACACACACATAGGGTTTCTCACCAGTGTGATTTCGTTCATGTATTTTAGAATACCACAGTGTAGTGAATGTTTTTCCACATTTCTGACATACATAGGGTTTCTCCCCAGTGTGGTTTCTTTCATGTATTTTACAGTCACTCACTGTAGTGAATGCTTTTCCACATTCCTTACATGAGTAAGGTTTCTTACCAGTGTGAATTCTTTCATGTCTTTTTTGACTATGCACAGTAGTGAATGGTTTCCCACAATGATTACATGTATAGGGTTTCTCCTCAGTATGAAATCTTTCATGTATTTTACAATACGTCAGTGTAGTGAATGCTTTCCCACATTTCTCACATACACAGGGTTTCTCCCCAGTGTGACTTCTTTCATGTAATTTACAATAACCTCAAGTAGTGAATGCTTTCCCACATTGCTTGTATATATAGGCTTTTTGGCGTTTGTGGAGTCGTTTTTGTCTACAATGTAAAGACCGATTGGCAAATACTTGTACACATTGATTACATACATAGGGTTTCTCCCTAGTGTGAATTCTTTCATGTCTTGTATGGTAGCTTTGTATAGTGAATGCCTTCCTACATTGCTTACATGCATAGAGTTTCTCCCCACTGTGAATTTTTTCATGAATTTTACAGTACTTCAGTGTAGTGAATGCTTTCCCACATTGCTTACATATATAGACATTCTGACTTCTGTGGGTTTATGTCTAAGAAATGCAGACTTATATGCAAATTCTTCTCCACATTGCTTGCATACATAGGGTGTCTTCCTGGTGTGAATTCTTTCATGGATGTTGACAACACTAGGAGTGCTGGAGCCCTTCACTCTTTGCTTGTACATAAAGGTCTGCACTCCAGGCTGAGTTCTTTCCTTAGAGTTATGGTACATTTTCCCACACTGCTCATATTGATAGCTTTGCTCTCCAGGCTTTAATTTTGTAAACTTCTGAAAGGACTGGAAATCACTGTAAGTTTTTCCTGGGTCATTACAATTACTTGGCTTCTCATCAAATACCACATATTCATGTGGCTTCAGATCACTGTGAAGTAATGTGAACATGTTTAATGATAAATGTCCAACTAAGGGTTTTCTACATGTAAGGCTTTCAGCTGGCTTTTGATCAGCGAGTTGTATATCCACATTCTCATCTGAAGTTCAAAGGAACATTTTTCCATCTTGATTCCAAACTTTGTTCTCATCAAATTTTGTTATCTTTTCATTTCTTCTATTTCTTGAGCAGTTCTTATATTCTTCAATTTGTTGGCTATCCCAAGTGCTTCCCAGAGCTGTCATATTCATAAATGTTTCCCACATCACATCTCTATAGAGCTTCTTCTGAGATGGATTCAACACAGCCCACTCCTCCATGGTGAAGTTCACAAGCACATCTTCCAGGTTCACTGCTTCCATTGCATGGGTTGATGGTCTCCAAGGATCCTTCCAATGCCGCTGGCAGCCAGTGGAAACTTCAGAAAATGTCGTCTGGTCAGCGGGAGCTGTCAGCTGCACAATCAAACCGTGCACCGTGACGCCATCACACAGGAAGTGCCCTCCTCTTTCTGTTTTATTAAAAAAAAAAAAGTAATTTAAAAAACGTTAGAAACAATACACAATTTCAAAACTCAAGATGATAGGAATTCAGTTGTGCTTATTTGAATATTGCCTTCAGAATAGTTGCTTAGATTATCAGATATAAGCATGTAAAATTGGTCAAAAATTAAGCATTAACGGTTCCTTTTATTAAATAATAGAAATTAGTAGTACAATAATCTTAACTCTCGTGTGTGTGTGTGTGTGTGTGTGTGTGTGTGTATTTTTTTCCCCTTTCTCCTTTCCCTTATTCTAGTTGTTCTTTCCTTTTGAGCAGTTTCTTTCCTTTCACAATATCATTTTGGATTTTATTTACCATTTTGGATTTTATTTACTTTTCAGTTTCTTTCAGTAGGGAGACAAAATGATGTTTGCACATGTGAGTCTGATTTATTTCACTTAGAGTATGGTCTCTATATACATCCATTTACCTATAAAAGCCTTGAGTTTATCTTTCTTTATATCTAAGTAGTACTCCATTGTATAAAAACACCACATCTTTTAATCTATTCTTCAGTTAATGTTTTTTCAGTTAATGTTTTGATTGGATTTTTATGTTTACTGAATTAGTGACATATTTTGCCGATGTAATTTCTACCCAGAAACATGTATCTATTTCCTTTAGTCATGTGTTTCTTATGAACATAGTGTATTTGATTAAGTGTCTAATATGTTTTTGGCTATATTGGCTAAAATTCTAATAGTGTAATGCAACTTACCTCCACTTATTTATAAATATGTTGCATATCCTATTTGTTTCCAATGAGTGAAAATCTTTGTAGATAGGATATATGCCTTATTATTTTGAATTTTTTCCATCTCCCATTCTCTTGGGTGGATCCATATACAGGTTGAGTATTTCTTTGTGAAATCCATTAGACCAGAAATACCTTGGATTTTGAAATTTTTTATGTTTTATAATATTTGTGTATACATAATGAGATAGTGCCTGGGGCCTAAATCTAAACCAAAATTCATTCATGTTTCATAGACTCAAGCATTGTTATTTGAAGGCAGTTTTATGCAGTATTTTAGTGTACCTGCATTATGACTGTGATTTGTCACATGGAGCCAGATATGGAATTTTGTACCTGTGGCCTAATATAGATGTTCATAAGGTTTAAGAATTGGGAGCAGTTTTTTTTTGCTCTTTACTTTTTAATTTAAAAAATTTTTGATATTGGGAATCAAACTGAGGACCTTGTGCTTGCCAGGCAGGCACTGTGCCACTGAACTTATCACTGGCCTTGGAAGCATTTAAGATTTTTGATTTTCAGATTAGGGATGTTTAACATGTCTGTACTGTATGAGTATTGGGTAGTCAACATTGAAAATTATTGTCTTCTCAACAACTAAGGTTTTTTTTTTTTTTTTTCTAACAGGGATCAAACTCAGGACCTTGTGCTTGCCAGGCAAGCACTTACTCAATAGAGCTATCTCCCCAGCCCCTTGGGTTTTTCTTTCTTTCTTTTTTTTTTTTAAAAAAAAAGAATAATAGTTTCTCTAAGAAATAGTAATCTGTATATGCAGCATGAGAAAATTAAAAAAGATTTTGCTTTGTTTTTGTCAGCTGTGTTTCCAGTTGATCCTGTTAAAGAAAATTATGTTCGTAAAGTGGAAAATTGTATATTTTCAATCGCCTTCCCTACTCCTTTCAAATCAAGAGTACATCTTGTAGCAGTTTCAAAGGTTAGGTTTTATTTTTTCACACCAGGAATTCTTAACTAAAATATTTGTCTTAAAATGTGTAAATTGCTTTTTAGATTTAATATTACTAATGTATTGGTAATTGACTATCTTTAAAGCTTAGATGTTTGGTACATGTCTTAGAAGTTACTTTTTTGTTCTTATCCCTATGTTTCATCTTATAGTTGGTTATGAGGAATACTGTATATGCATTTATGAAAAAAGGGGAAAGTTTAAATTCTTACAGGGGGCCAGGGAGATAGCTCAGTAGAATAAGCACTTGCCTGGCAAGCACAGGGTCCTGAGTTCAATCCCCAGTTCTGCCCCCCCAAACAAAAAAAATTCTTTTACAGATAACTGTTAAAAATGGTCTCAGATAACAAGTTCTAAATTGTTCTGTTTGTTTATTTAATGCAAAATCTAAATAAATGGATTTGGAATTAAAACAGTAAGTTTGCTTTTTTGTTTTAGTTCTTTCATAGACCATGTGCCAGAAAAAATACTGTTTTACTGAGCATCATAGGAAATCCATGGATATTTTAGAGCCAGCTAGAAGAACTGATTTTCCTCAAATAGCATAAATAATCAGACAGTATGCTATATTGCTTAAGAAAAATCTTCATAGTATATATTGGGAAGAGGTTCTTTTTTGTAATTTTGTTCCAATAGGCTTCTATTCTTGAAAAATTATTAAAATATTGCTTAGGTTTCTAAGATTTATATTTTTTTCTGCCTCAGAATGTTCTCGAAGACCTTTTGGACCTTGATGTATCTGTCTCAGAAACGGACGATTTTGTTCAGCTTGTAAGCGGTGGAAAGATAGTGTTTGGATCTGTTCCACTGACTCATAGGTATGGGGGCCACCAGGTAAGAGTAGCAACATCACTGCCTATATGCAAATAAAATGTGGCAGAAATGCTGTCCTAGTACATTATTTTGCATTAATCCCTCTAAACTTGACCTGAGATTTCAACAAGTTGCTTTGAGAAGAATATCATTATAATATTGTTAGTAATCTGTTGGTGTGATTTCTTGCTCTGAAAAGCTAGAGCCTAAACTTTAAATGGGGCTGGTAGGCAACCTATTGATAAATTATTTGCCAGGCATGTGTGAAGCCCTGAGTTTGATCTCCTGCACCACAGCAACAAAGCCAAACCCTTAAAAGCTATGTTTGTTGTTTTCTTGGGTTTTAGGGACTGAATTCAGGGCATTCTCTTCCTAAGCTACCTCCTCGGTCCTTTTTATTTGATATATTTATTTCAAGACAGGCTCTCCCTTAAATGCCCTTGTGGATCAGAACTTCCAATTTAATTGCTGGGATTACAGATATGTGCTACTGTGCTTAGCAACAACTGAGCTTTTTAAATGAAATTCAGAATGTGGAGACAGCATGAATATAACATTTCTGTGAATTATTGCTAGAGAACTTACAAAAGACCAAGGCAAAAGCCAAGGAGTGCAAGGTGTCAGTGTAAAAGCCCAGGAGGACAAGTAGCTTCCAATTTTTCCAGGGTGGCTGCCAAGCAAAGTTTTAGAACTGCTAGAAAGGCAAGAGTTCTTGGGGCCTGCAATAGGCACTATGCAACAAGTCAGTAAGATAGGAACAAGTTCAGGGCATGGTATTTGAATAAGAAAAACAGCATGGGGACATAGCATCAATCGCTGAAGTTTGTGCGACTTCTTTGTAAACAACATACAGTACATGGTGAAATTTCTATGATTCCTCTGTAAGCAAAATACAACTAAAGACTCCTTGTTTTTGCGGGGTCTGCATTGGAAATGGCTGGCAGGGGCTGGGAAGATAGCTCAGCGGCTTAAGGGCCTGCCTGGCAAGCTCAAGGTCCTGAGTTTGACACCTGATACCAGAAAAGAAAAAAGAGAAATGCCTCTTATTTGGGCTGAGGAGATGGCTCAGTGGAATAAGCGCTTCCCTGGCAAGTTCAAGGGCCTGAGTTCAATCCCCGGTTCCACCAAAGAAATAAAAATAAATAAATAAATAAAATAAAATAAAATGAAAAAAGGAAATGGCTGGCATACTAGGGAATAATTTTGAGGACCAGCAGTGAAGTATAACGTGATTTGTCAGAAAATTAAATTAGGAAATATTAGACTGAGTGTTATGGCACGCTTCAGTAATCCCAGTGCTTGGGAGGCTGAAAATAGGAGATTCCCTATGAGTCCAGTCTGTGTAGTGAGACACATAGTGCCTATTGTGAGATCCTGTACTAAATACATTAAGAAAAACCAGACAAATAAATAAATAAATAAAATAAATTAGGAAATACGCAGAAAAATGCTATGTATTAGCTATTATAATAATTGTAACACTAGGCTATGGTTTGTTGGGTTAAATAATCCCTTTATTCAGAGTTCTGTGAGCTAGTGGGCATGGTGGCACATGCCTATAATCCCAGAACTTGGGAGACTGAGGCAAGTGGATTGCTGTGAGTTTGAGGCCAGTGTTCGCTACATCATAAGACCCTGTCTCAAAAATAAAAAAAAAATAAAAAATCTATGACCTAGAATGTAAAGTGATATAAACCGTTAAAATTGGGAAGGACTTTATAGACCATCTGATTCAAACTTGCACCCTAGTTTCTTGCATTATAAGGAGTTCACCAAGATCATTCCATGAGTCAAAGGAAATGCTTCAGCAAAGAAATCTGTTTAATTTTGTTTAAAATACCATTTCCAAAAGATATTTGACTGCAGGGTTTTGTTATTTCTTTTCAAGGAGTCACTAATGTTTTGCTGAACTGTGGGCCTCAGTTTACAAAGTTGTGCACTAACTGATCCCTACAGTCTTTTTTAGTACCGCCAGTATAGGGATCCCATGGATCAAAAAGCCATCTCACCTACAGATTAAATTTATTTGGAAATATTTTATAACATAAAAGTACATATGCAAACTTTTAAGAGTTTTGTTAAACTGTTCTTTTTTGTAGAATTTTTAAGGGTAGTAAAGTAGATTAAAGCTTTATCAATTTCATATCATCTATGCTTCTCTCTAATTTGAAATTATGGTATAATTGTTTATTTATATGGATATCTTTGCCACTTTGAACTTAAATGATTTTTGTGGATGGAAAATATGGTTCCTGATTTCCCCAATTGCATTTTGGGAACTGAACTTCTCATTCTTTTCCCTTCCCTCTCGTGGAGTGGGATATACTTCCCGTACTGTTGATTTTAGAGCTTTTCAGACTAGACTGAGAGCACCTCTTAGACTTATGCTCTCATAGATATTCCAAAATTAGTTGTCTCAAATTTATATTTTAAGTGAATTTCATTTATTTACTTATTAAATTTATTTTTACTATAGTTCTCATTGTTTTTATAATCCTTGAAAATATAATACCCCATCCCCACTGGAGACAAAAATAAGCTTGGGTATAAAAAATATTGTCAAACCTGTAAAGGTAATAAATGGGAATAATTCTTCTTTTCCCCCTTTAGTTTGGGGTATGGACAGATCAGCTTGGGGATGGAAGAGCTCACCTTATTGGAATTTACACAAATAGGTACCTCGTATTTTCTTTATAATAGCTTCTCTGCTAAATATTAACATAAATCTCCCAATAATGAAATTTTATGTTCTTCTTGTTTTCTTTTTGAAGGCAGGGTGAAAAGTGGGAGCTCCAGTTAAAGGGCTCAGGAAAGACCCCATACTCCCGGTATGGTCTAGTTTGTTTGTTTGTTGGTTTTTTTCAGTGCCAGGGCTTGAATCTAGGGCCTCACAAAGGCTAGGAAAATTCTACCACTGAACTGCATGTAGCCCCAGTTTGGTAGTTCTTCTAGTCATCTAGATAAGAGTTGATGTCATCTTAAGCACAAATGAAATTCTTTTAAATTGTGTTTTTGGCAGAAGTGGTGATGGTAGAGCAGTACTTCGCTCCTCAGTGAGAGAATTTTTGTGCAGTGAGGCTATGCATGCCCTGGGGATTCCAACCAGCAGGGCTGCAAGGTAAATTCTTCTTCCCTTGATGCTGTCAGGACACAGTTCTCCACTTGTGTCAATGAGAGGCCAGTCTCTGACAGCATAGTTTGCTCTGGCTGTCCTGTCAGGTGTGCCCTGATGGCTTACTTTGCAGTTAAAATGCTGGATCCTTTTCTTACAGCCTGGTTGTAAGTGATGATGATGTATGGCGAGATCAGTTCAACAGTGGAAATATCAAGAAAGAGCGAGGTAACAGCTTTTAAAATAATTACAGTATTCAAAACTGAACCAAATTGTTTAAGAATATTGGATATTTTTTAGTCTTCTTAAAAAGAACCACTGCTTCTCAAAGATCTAATTCTAGCATTATGATATTATACTAGATAAGGCTTCCCATATCTTTTATCACGAGTCTCCCTTTTTCAAAGAGCAGACAAGCATGTGAAAGGGCTGGAATGTGGTTCAGTGCTTGCCTAGCATAAGTAAGACTCTGGATTTGATCCCCAGTTACACCAAAACAAAACCTATTAAGAGCAAACATCTACTGCCTGTTTACAGCCTCCCAAGAGCTGGGATCACAGGCCCACGTTGCATCTCCCAGTCTCAATTGCCGGCTCAGCGCACCTGGGGGCAGGGCCAGCAAGGCAGGCTAGGTTCTTTATCTTGTTGTAAACTATCAAGATTCCTGGAAGCAGGAGTAGTGACTCCCAACAGTCTTACTTTTATTTACTTCATTAAGAAAATAAACATGAAAAAAAAAAAAAAAAAAAAAGAAAATGAAAAGAAGCATGTAGTTGATCTGAGATTGTTGACTCTTTTTCTGGTATTTTGGAAATGCTACTGTTATTCACATGAGCCTTTCTATGACAAGCATGACTCTAATGCCATCTCTCAGAGTAAAATAGGCAATCATTTACAATTTGAGTAAGGATTTAATAATAGTAAGGGTAAAATAATAGGTAAACCTACCTATCAGGCATCATTTTTAAACATCTTATATAGTTTGTTTCATTTATTCCTAACAGCCACCTAATGAAATATTTTTTCTATATATTCCTATTTGATGGATAGGGGACCAGAAATAAGTGTAGGTTAAGTAACTTGCTCAAAATTATACAACTAGCACTAGCTATATCAACCATTGTTAATCAGCTATTACTGGTTTGAAAATCTATAACATGTATTATTGTACATTGCCCTGTTTCTTTTTCTGATTTTTGTTCTTGCTTTTGATTTTATGTTTCAAAATAAAATAAAATTAAACAAAAAGGATAGTATAACAACCATTGTCAATTATCTATTACTATTTTTGAAAATCTGTAAAATATGTATTATTGTATGTTATCCTGGTCTCTTTTTTCTGTTTGTTTTTGCTTCTGTTTTTACTCTTCAAAATAAAAATAAAATAAAATAATTATACAACTAAAAAATAAAAAACAAAAAGAGGAAACACCTAGAGAGTGAACAAAAACTGAATAGGTGGCAAGATGTCACAAAGCCAGTATAGGAAGGCTCATATACACTTCTTTCAGAGCATTCCTTGGGGTCTGATTGGTTGTGCTTTATATTCTGTTCCAGTAAACCCAGTTCCTTTGCTTTTAATAGTTTATAAATAAAAAATTAAAAGGGCACTGAAAAAGTGTGCTATGGAGGCACATTTAGAGAGCCAGAAGAGAGAGAGAGAGAGAGAGAGAGAGAGAGAGAGAGAGAGAGAGAGAGAGGGAGAGAAACTCCTCTGAATCTCTGGGGAGGAGAGGAGACCCCAAAATTAGTAATAACCATACTTAAAAGCTTGAAAGTGATGCTGCCAAGAACTGTTGAGAATCCTACTTCCTTTAGTGGAGCCTCTGGGCCTGGCTGTGTCAGGGAACAGCGTTCTCACTGATGTTCATAGTGATTCAGCAAGAGCATGTTTTATGTTTTCTGTACTTAGTATAATAGTACATGTGTTAGTCTGTTTGTGCTGCTATAACAGAATGCCTTTAACTGGAAATCCATAAACAATAGAAGTGTATTTCTCACATTTCTGGAGCTGGAAGTCTAAGATCAGTTTGATGGTAGACCCAGTGTGGGGTGAGGTCCCTCTACTTCAAGGATAGCATTTTCTCACTGTATGATCAAGTGACAGAAGGAGAAGGCAGCTCTCTAGGTCTCTTTTCTAAGGACACTAACTTCATTTGTGAGCACTGACCCAATGACTATATCACCTCCCAAAGCCTAGTATAATTTTGTTGGTGATTAAGTTTTTGAATTTTCAATTTTATTAAATGCAAACTTTTGAACCATAGAAATATGTTCTTTATAAGACCTTCATGACACATAGTTCCCCAAAAGTATTTATTCTTAAGGTATTAATAAGTGCAACTTACCTTCATGGCATCTCTTATTATAGCAGTTAGAGTTTACTAGAGGAATAGACTTAGTAGAAAAAAATGTATATGATTACTATAGACAATAGATTATAGTGGGTAGGCCTACAATGGCTGCCTGTAGAATCTGAGGTAGAAGAAGGCAGATGGCGGTCTGTGGACTGGAGAACCAGAGGATCCAGTCAATAGATGAAGGGCTGTAGAGTCCGGTGCAAGTCCGCATTGGAAACCTGTGGGGATCTGTGTTAGAAGACTGAGGAGCCTGTGCTGGAAGCCTGCCTGAACTGGAGACCACCATTCACAGACAATAGAAAGATTGAATCTCCCCCAGAGAAATAAAGGAGAGCCTTTTCATTCTGTCCAGGCTGTATGCCTATTGGTTGGTCCCACCCACATCTGGGGTGAGGCATCCCTCTAACTTTGCAGCCTTTGTGTCTGTCAGCCATAGACACACCCAGACCTTTGCTAATCTGATGGGCTGGTCCTCACTCAAGTCAAGTTGACATAGCACAGTTCCCCTTTAATGTCACTGGGATAATATGACACTGTTGTGCACAGGCCCATAACTACTTAGGTCTCCTGGCTTGTGGTGATCGGATATCAAATTCCTGCCACAGACTGTTAGTACGACTGCTGCAGCACTATTTACTCTTGTGTCTGTGACTTATGTATTGTTTATCTGAATTCCAAGTCACAGTCTTAACAGTATCAATTGAGGCCAAGAACTCCTTCTATTAGAATACTAATGGCATTTTCACACCTAAGTCTTTACATATGTACAGATATCCTGACTACACTTTTATCCTAATGTTGACCCAGGAACCATTATGGTACGGCAAGAATAGACGAGGCAAGAAGAAAGAGTGTGTAGGAATTGGAGTTGATTCTTTTAGAACTAGCTTTGTAAAGCTTAGCTGAGTTCCTTAGACTTTCCAGTTCTGAGTTTAATCATCTAAATTGAGGTTAGAGTAGATGATATTTTTGTGTCTTCCATTACTAGCATTCTGTGATTCAGTGGCTATTCATTAAGTAGATGTTTAGATTAATTTATGGAGCTCTTATAAACATTTATTGAATGACTCTACTTTTTTAATACCAAAATCATAAGAAAATAAATATCCATGTTAGTATAGTGACTACATCTTGGCCATGTGGATAACTCAGGACACATTCTTTGGGCCTTTACTTCAGTTGCCACTGGGCTAAACCCTAGTGGGTCTGGGAGAAGTAAGTGTAGCTCAGTCTTTAGTCTCAAGACTCACAGCCTTTGTAGAGAAAAGACTTCAACATGGACAATCAAAAATGAGGGGTAGTAAAAGGAGGATCAGTATAGCTTTATGGAGAAATAAAAATTGATCCAGAGCAAAAGATTGGGTGGGATTTCAGTGAGGAGAGAAGAGGGAATAAGGTTTTGCAAATGCCTACTGGAGGTAATTCTCAACTATTACAGAACTGGAAAACACTTACGAGGACCTGTGCAGAGTAGGTACTTTGTTGTGAATCCCCTGCTTCAGGATGAAGTACAATTGATGAGAAAGTGAGGAATCTGGAATTTTCTGCTGCAGCTACTTCTCAGCTTGTTAGCTGGATTGAAGACTTGCTTTTTCTAGCTGTGTTGTGGTCTAAATGTTCTGATTCAGGCTTAAAGTGATTGAGAAAACCCCTGACTCTTTGGGATATAATATAAATTAAGGAATATAATTGTTTTTCTGGTGGATTCAGTAGCTATATTTTTAAATTAAAATAATTTTATTTTAAGAAAAATATTTTACAGCTCTTGACATAAGGTTAAAAAGTTTCATGTTAAAATAAATGTTTCTTTTAAGGTGCAGTTGTGCTTCGTGTTGCAAAATCATGGTTTAGAATTGGATCATTAGAAATTTTGGCTCATTATGGTGAACTGGATTTAATGAGGTTAGAAAATTATTTTTAAAGCTATTGTTGAGGTATATAATTGACTATAAGATTGTACATATATTTGAGGTGTACATTGTGATGTTTTGAGATATATATATATACACACATATTTATATGTATATATATGTAATTAAAATGATTACCTAGTCAGTATAATTAACAAGTAAGACTCACTCAGCAAATTTCTTTTTTTTTTTTTTAAATTTTTAAAATTTATTTGTTTTTATCTTTTTTTTTTCAAATTAAATTGGTAGGACAGTTTCAATAATTAACACATTGCATACATTCTTCCTAGTGGTTAATTGCTATACAAGATGCAGACATGATATCCTATTTACAAACACCATTAGAACAAATCACTCTATTCATTAGGAGAATGTAACTATATATCTATCCTAACCACTTTGAATACACAGATACAAAATGGACATTCATCTGTATACCTTTTTTTGGTTAAGTTCCGTTACTTGAATATTATAGGTGTGTATCACTCAGCAAATTTCAAGCATAAAAAATATATTATTATTAACTGTAGCCTATACCTTAGGTCTGCATGACTCACTCACTCATCTCACAACTTTGAGCAGAATTTCCCCATTGCCTGCAGCCCCTAACCTTTGGTAACAACTATTCTACTCTACTTTTATGAGCTCAGTTTCTTCAGATTCCACACATAAGTGAAGCCATGCAATAGCTGTTTTTGTGAACAGACTTATTTCACTTAGCACGTCTTCCAGGTTTATTCACACTCCTGGTAATGACAAAATTTCCTTCTTTATTAAAGGCTGAATAGGGAAATTATATTTTAAAGAACACAGTAAGAAAAATGCTTACATACATGCAGTAAAGTTAAATATTTTCTGTTTTCCTGTAAGTACAACCAAGATTTTTTTGTTTGTTTGTTTTACATGGTACTACTGATTAAATTCAGGGTTCTTAATGTGCTAGGCAAACACTGCCATTGAGCTACACCCCAACCCCTTTTGTTGTCCAGGCTGGCCTTCAACTCAAGCCTCCTGTGTTAGCCTGCCGAGTGGCTGGTGTTATAGGAGTGTGCTACCATGCCCTGTTTCTTGTGGGTTTTTAGGAACTTAAAAAAAGAAGAGTTACCTCAGTTCTCCCTTTTCTCAAGTAATGTATTATGTAATTTGCAAGTCAGTAATAGCTGAGACCTTTCATGCCACTCAGAGACATGGGAGAAGTCTCAAGAAATCCATGGCTCCCCTCCCAATTTCTCGGATTCACAGGGTACATCCTCTCTTAACACTAGTTTGACCCAGAAGTGAAACTTTACCTCTTCAACAAGACAAAAACAACAGACCATATTTACACAGAAATGTGGCATGTTTTTAAAGATTGCTGGGAGAAAATGGAGGGAAGCTTACTTCAAAAGAAAAAAAGCAATAAGTTCTTCTTCTTGGGTCATGCAAAAGCCTATCTTCCTCAAGCACACTTAGGATATTTGGTGTGGTTGTTTTGATACCGAGACTGAACTCAGGACCTTGTAATTGCCAGGCAGGCACTTAGAGCTGTCTCCCCAGCCCGGGATATTTCTTCCTTTAAGAGGACTTGTCTGTATACATTTAAAAGAATACAGTTTAACAAATCATTAGACATATATAAGAAAAATTATCTTAGGCAAACCATAGTCATTTGGAATATGAACCCTATATTGTAGTTACTGGCATTGTAGATCCAGGTTCAGTACATGAGGAATGTGGAGACGAAAAGCTGAAGGCAATGAGCAAGTGGAACAGAGAAGTGAGCCATCATACCTGTCGCCTCCATGCTCTGAGCCTCATACTTTAGGAAATGTTGACTGAGCGCACGGTCATTCTTCTGAAGGACAGAGGTCACTATTTTCACCATTTTGTGGTATTTCTGACCACTGCTTTGCTTTTCTTCATGTTACTACTGTTTGGATTCACTGTGCTACTGAAATTGTTTTATTTTGATCACATTTTCTAGTGTTGGAGGTCAAACCCAGGGCCTCATGCATGCTAGGCAAGCACTATACCACTGAGCTAGTTCCCAGCCTTGAAATTGTTTCATCTAGTGGTTATACTTCAGTTATATTTCACTTACCCTGGTGTTCGGCATGTACTCTTCTCTAGTCCATCTTTGAAGTGCTTCTTGTATTGGCCAGCATGACATTACTGTTCCATCTGTCTAGTTATCAGACAAACTCTACAACCCCCAACACATGTTCCATCTCATCCAAGGCAGTCAACTCTGTTGGTTAGTCACTTAACTAGAATAGTTGGTTAAAATAGGAAATAAAAAGTATAATACATAAGCATACTAAGTGTTTTAACTTCAGACGTTTGCCTTCTTTTGTTGTCTTATGAGTGAAGTCTTAAGTGACCAACATATAAATGATCATTCCCTGCTTTTATTGGTACACATTTTATGTATTTCTATTATTACACTTACCATACTATAATGTGATGATTTCTGCATGTTCTTCCCTGATAGACTGTGCTCTTTGAAGTCTAGGCATGAGTCTTACCATTTTTCCTAGTTATTGCCTAGGCTTGGCATGTGGTGGGTACTCAGTGAATGTTTGTCAAACTTGTCTAAATTTGGAACATAGTGAGGTAGAATATGATGTGATTTTTCTAATCATACTTCTGTATTTGATTGTTGTAGTGGAAATATTTATGTCTAGTTTGCAGTATAATCTTATTCTAAAGTTTCTAAGTTTTAAGGCTGATCTAGTGAATCATAGATCTTAAGGGTGGGTTTAGTGCTCATGGGACACTGTATTCTAAGAAATACTAATGTTGTGTCCTTTTTATCCCAGGATACTGTTAGACTTCATCATACAGGAGCACTTTCCATTAATAGATGTTAACGAACCTAATAGATACGTGGTAAGTTTTTGAAGAGAAAAGTTTTCTTTTGTTGGCTACCGATCTTGGAGACTGCAACTTACAGAAGCATAGCTGGGAAAGGAAGTATAAAGCACCTTGAACACTGTGTTAGAGGAAGATAAGATGAACCTCATGATAGGCAAGACAGTTGTTTTGTTTGAATTATGCTTAGCAAGAAAGAACAGGTGTTCCTATGTCCTGACTACATATGTTACTTTTGAGATGCATTTATAACTGTGTCACATATATTCTTTCCTCACACTTTACATATATGCCATAAGAATTTCTATAGTGGTAGAGTTTTTTTAATATAATTTTTTTATTCAAAGTGTCTTTAGTTCCCATCTCTATTGCTGATTCTTTTTAAAATTGAAATTGTTTGCTTACGTTAATGGAACAATATACCAGGTTTCTCTGTGACAATTTTGTACTTGAGTGTATAGCATACTTTGATCATGCCTACTCTAGTACTGTCCTATGCCCCACCCTGAACCCTGTCCCTTCTCCTCCCCTAATAGTTCCCCTTCTTAGAGAAGAAATTTAAAAATAAACCAAGTAAGTTATGGGAAAATGTGATTTCCTATGTTTGTGGAAAGCTCTTGATCTTAATAACTTTTTCATTCTTTAAATATTCTCAGAAAAAGAAATTCTATTTTTCTTGATGATATACTACAAGTTCAATGATTTTCATTGCTTTTGTTTAAAATCCTTGTGAATTCTGTTACTTTTACCTTTCTTATTAGGCATGGAGAATCTTGGTTATAATAATCTCAGTCTTTTATATATAATTCCTGGATGAATGATTTTTCTTTCATTTTTCTTATAACTGTTTGTGTTTCTTTAACCACCCCTGGCCCATATTAAAATTCTTACCATGTTCTCTCTCAAGATTATATTTTATATTATCAGAGGAACCGAAAAGATAAAAATGTATGCTATTGAAAAACTAAAATTTTTTCTAAATTATATTTTAGGATTTTTTTTCAACAGTAGTATCTGGAACAGCGCAGCTTATTGCCTTATGGATGTCTGTTGGTTTTGCTCATGGTAAATTACCTGTTAATATTTTATTGTACTATTAAGAAATTAGAATTAATTGATGTGAATGACTTATTTTTGTGTATTTAAAAATACTCATCCTGATAACCACTAAGAAGATAACAATATGCAATGTATTAATTACTGAAAATGTCCTATTAATTGGTTTTGAAACTGTCTCATTGCTATCTGTTTCTCAGTAAAATTAATTAAAAAAATACTCATCCTGATGAGCTTCTTAACATTTTTAATGTACAAGCTTGTTCTTAACAACAGATTTTTAAAATGGTTTTGAATGGGACAGTGATCACAAAATAGAATGTTACTCATAAATCTGTTTGACTATATCATTGTATGTGTGGCTATATTACTATGTTTTGGGTTCTTTAAAGACATTTAAAACTTTTAAATATAAAAGTACTATATGCTATGGTCAGTAATTTAAAATATAGAGAAGTAAGTAGGAATTTCATTTTACTAACTAGCATTAACCATTTCATATCAATTTTTCTAAGTTTTTTCCTATTATATACAGATGTTTCTAGCAAGAAACAAAACAAAACAAAACAAAAACAAAAAATCCCAAAAGGACAACTAAAAAGTGAGCTAGGCTCCCATGCTGCTGATGTTCTGCAGCTAATAATTGCTGCAGCACAACAAATGCGTATTTTATCTTTTTCCATTTTCACAACATGTGAAAATAAATTTATTTTATTCTTTTACTAGTCCCATTATAAACAAATAATATATGTTTTCAAACAAATGTTGGAGAATGAGGGTAAATAAAAGAGAAAATTCCATTTTTTGGGGTTTTGTTCCTATAATATATGAAGTCTTTGTCTTTGAAGGGGGAGGTAGGACTATAAAACAAAAGATTAAATTTAATTTTATAGTAGGTCTGTCAAATAGTTTTAACATTAAGCTATTGATTTCACCAATTAAATTTCAAGTAATAATTTGTTACACCTCTAAGACAAATGGCATTCTTATGACCCTTCTTATTCTGGATAATCTTATAGAATTAAAGGAAAAAACTGGGTGATGGGGGAGTGTAGCTCAGAGATAGAACACTTGCCTAAGAGCTGCTGAGATAGCTCAGTGAACTAAGCTCTAAGAGCCTACTTATGCAAGTTCAGGGAACAGGGTTTGATCCCTGGTACTGAATGCCATGCCGGCCCTGTCCCTGGGGCATGCTGAGCCGTCCACCTAGATCTGGTGTGGTTGTGCATGCCTGTAATCCCCATGCTGAAGAGGCTGAAAACAAGCAGATCACTACAAGTCTGAGCTATGTAGTGAGACCTTTACCAAACACATTTAAAAAAAGAAAGAAAGAAAGAAAGAAAGAAAGAAAGAAAGAAAGAAAGAAAGAAAGAAAGAAAAAGAATGCTTGCCTAGCCAGCATGAGGGCCTTGGCACTGCAAAAAAATAAAAAACCAAAATGAAAAACAAAATCAGAAAAAGAAAAAAAAATCTTTCATTATTCTCAAGTTTTTGGATTCTTTGTTGTTTTAGGTGTTTGTAATACTGATAACTTCAGTTTGTTATCCATTACTATTGACTATGGTCCATTTGGCTTTATGGAGGCCTATAATCCAGGTATGTCTGGTGTGGTGGTGTGTGTTTCATTAAAAAAAGAACTACAGGTTTATTTCAGGTAATAAATACAGTGATAGCAGAGTAGAAAGATAGGAGAGTAGAAAGAAAGGTCCATTCATAAAATAGTCATTTTTATGTGCTAATACATCTTCTGTGAGACACAGGCAGTGCAGCAGTGAAGCCGGGGTCTCTGCCCTCAACGAATGTCATATTAGAGATGTGACATGAAGCATATTGGTGACTGTGCTGTGTGGCAGACTTAGACATGAGTGTTAGTGTCTGGCCCTTATGACTCTGCCTTTGGAAACTTCTTACTATATTAATAGATAAAATGTAGGTAACAGTAATACACTGATTACCCCTGCAAGGGTCAGAGAGCACATGGAGGATGTGTAATTGGCTGGAGTTCAATATACACACAGGGGCTCTGGGAGTAGCTTGGGGCTAGAGTATTGGCCTAGCTGTGTTTGACTCTTAGCACTTTTTAAAAAAAGGATGAGAGGGTACATATGTGGTAAAATAGAAATTCTTATGGGCTGGAATTGTATTTCTTCACTAGGTAAATATTTATATTTCAAAAACTTTAGTATAGATAGGTACTAAGTGTGTATTTCTTTGTAGTTAGGTAACATCAGAAAGATTTTTATCTAATATACATATATTAAGTTGAAACACAAACTTAAAATAGAAAGAGGCTATTTATTATAATTGTCCCCACTGTAAAGCCATAAAATTTTATTTTAAACAGACTTTGTACCAAATACATCTGATGATGAAAGAAGATATAAAATAGGAAATCAGGCCAATGTTGGGATGTTTAACTTAAACAAGTTGTTACAAGCTCTAAACTTATTACTGGATTCTAGTCAAAAGCAGCTGTGAGTAAATCCTAAATATTGTAATTAAATCTGTGAAAATATATGTGTATAATGATCACTTTTTGAAGAAACATTTAAAAACTATCTTATTATTTACTTTTTAGTAATAAAGATATTTCAAGCCATCTATTTTCTTCTAATACAATTTGGACTTTTTTCATAGTTATGAGAATAAAGTTTTTCTTATTTATAGTTTTTACATGTTATGAAATGAGTTTATTTCCTATTTGATCCAAAGAACATCTCCATGTTCTTAATTTCTGATTATTTGGAATAATTTTGTCCATATTTTTGTGATGAAAGAATGTATTTAGTAAAAATCTTTACTTGAAATGTGTTAAGATTTCTTTATGGCTCAACCTAACATATTTTTGGACATGTTTGGTTGTACACAAAAATGCCCACTGGACAGTGAGCTCCTTGAGGACAAGAAAGAACCACATTCCAATCATGTCTGTGTCCCCAGAGTATGTGCTAGAAATATACGTATATCTCCCTGTCTTCCCCTTCTTCACAAGATCTAAAATTCATAATTTTCATCACAAGATCCAGACAGAAAAAGTGAAGGCATGTTTTATCAACTCTAGCTAGCAGAAATCTTACTATAAAAAGATGAAAGTTTACAATCCGATTTGTGGATTTCTTAGTTTAAAAGTTGATAATACAGGGCTGGGGAGATAGCTCAGTGGCATAAGTACCTGCCTGGCAAGTGCAAGGTCTTGAGCTCAATCCCCAGTACCACAAAAAAAAAACAAAAAAAAAAACAAAAGAAAACAAAAACAAAAACAAAAACAAAAAAAAGGGAGGGCCAGGGAGATAGCTCAGTTGAATAAGCGCTTGCCTGCCAAGTGCAAGGGCCTGAGTTCAATCCCTGGTTCCGCAAAACAAAACAAAAAAACAAAACAAAAAAAACCTCTGACAACTTTAATTTAAAAAAAAAAAAGGTGGTAATACAGTAACACAGTTAAGAATCAAAGCTATAGGACTGGGGAGATGGCTCAGTGGAATAAGTGCTTGCCTGACAAGTGCAAGGGCCTGAGTTCAATCTCTAAAAAAAAAAAAAAAAAAAAAAAAAAGAAGAATCAAAGCTATGTAAAATAATGTTCCTTAAGCTGTCTTGTGCCACCTTTGTCTTCCATCAGTTTTATATGTTTTGTCCTGCACTCATTCAACTCAGACTTTTTTTTTTTGGTCTTTTTGAGATAAGTTTTCCCATGTAGTTCAGGCTGACATTGAGCTCACTTTGTAGCCCAGGCTGGTCTTGCTCACAATGATCCTCCTTCCTTAGCCTCCTGAGTGCTAGGATTATAGGGGTACACCACCACACCAGCCTTCAACTCGTACTTTAGTCTTATCTTTCAGTGTGTTCCAGACACTTCTGTGTACTACAGGAATGGTAATGAATAGACAAGGAATGAAAAAAAAGCCATCCTAGTATTTACTACAGCCAGTAGGCAAATAAGTTATAGAGTAGATAAGGAAAGTAAACCCTAGGGTCAGGGAAGAGGGACTTGGAGTTTTAAGAGTAGTCAGCACTTCAGCCAAGACTTGAAGGAGTTATAGGAACAAAGCCACACAATGCAGCTCTCTAGGGGAGCCTTGCCTGTGTAAGGCCCTGAGATGGAGGGGTGTGGTGTATTCAAGGAGAAGTAGGAAGGCCACAGTGGCAGTAACCAAATACCCCAGGGGAAGAATTAGAGGCAGAAAGGGCGTGGGGCTTCAGAATACATTGTTTTGTATAATTTAAAAGATACTTTAGAATGTGAAAAGATAGATGGTTTATTTAAAAATGATTTCTTTTTTTGTATATAGTACAGGATCTAAAGGCTCTGACTGCATAGATTGGACTCAGATTCTCCTGTTTATGGCTTCCCAAGTGCTAGGATTACAGGTGTGTGCCACCATGCCCAGCACAACTCAGCATGCCCCTGGGGCGGGGCTGGCACATCAAGCTGGGGATCGAACCCCTGGCCCCTGCATCTGCCTAAGCAGGCAATTTAATATTCATCTAAGTTTTTGTGTGGACACATTCCTCCATTTCTCTTGGGTAGAAATGAGCTATTTGGCTGGCCCTAAAAATGATTTTAAAGTTTGGAACTAAAAGCTAGAATTAATAACATGCAGTCTCTGTTATTTAAGATGGGAAGGTTTTCTATTCTTAAAAAATAATTCAATACTATTAATTTTTAATTAAAGTTTAACTATCTTTTCTTTTTATTCCCCTAGTGCTGCTCAGATTCTTGGCGAGTACCCTGATCTTTATTATACAAGGTTTGTTAGTTTTAAATATGGATGTTGAAGTATCGTGGTTAGTTTGAGTGTAGTTCTTAAAACAGGGAGAATTTTAGTAACAAATTGAATTGATATTTCTCCTTTTAGATTTAGAAAATTGTTCAAAGCCAAGTTAGGATTACTTGGAGAAGAGGAGGAGGATGACGAGTTAGTTGCATTTCTCTTACATGTGAGTTTATAATATTCTTTCCTGATTAACATTTGAATTACTCTTCACTTTGTAAAGAATTTTGATTGATAAATACATTGCTTTTATTAGCTCATGGGCGAGACAGAAGCCGATTTTACAATGACGTTTCGGCAGCTTAGTGAGATAACTGAGAGCCAGTTACTGCAGCTCAACATTCCTCAGGTATTAACTTGTGACATTTTTTTTTCTTAATTCAGTTTTCTTTGACATGTGTATGTATGTATACATGGCCTATCACAGCATCCCACTTGTTTAAGTGTACAGTTTAAGCTTTTAAGATAATCACTGGATTTGTTGCGTTTCACAATTCAGTTTTAGAAGAATTCTGTCACTCTAGAAAGACCCCTTGTGCCCATTTACAGAGACCAAGAGATGTTGAGGAGGTGGGAAGGGAGGCAAAGGAGCCTGAAAAGGAATTAAGGCTTGCTTAATTCCTGCACCAGTTACCATGATGAAGGTGTTCATTATGGACTTCAAACGTATACAAATAACAAAAGAAAAATAAAATAACTGCCCCCCCCTAAAAAAAAAAAAAGAAAAAGGAAGAAAGAAAAGAAAAAAAAAAAAGCTGTTTCCACTCCGAGCACCACATAACTGCTCAGCCACTTTCTATCTGTGGGTTTTCGTTTGTGGGCGCTTCATATACTTGGGGCCATGCAGTATTCATTGCTTCCCTTGGCACATTGCTGAGTTCCCCCCTGCTGTGTCCTAACAGCTCTGACCTCCGTGTGAGTGACAGCAGCCATGTGGGACTACGCACATTTTGCTTGTCCATTTATTTACCAGTTAGGACATCTGGGTTGTTCGCTTTTCTTGGCTATTAGGCACACATGCTGCTGTGAAGATTCATCTAAGTTTTTGTGTGGACACATTGCTTCAGTTCTCTTGGGTAGACTACAAGTAGAAATGCTGGATTGTTTCATAAATTAATATTTCACTTTTAAAAACCCTGCCAAAATATTTCAAAAGTGGCTGAACTTGAGTCATTGTTAAGAATGTGTTACAAAAATAAAAATAAAGATTTTTATAACAATGTAGTGAAAAATAATGTGTTTCCTTTTTATTTAACTGCTGATATATTATATTTTCTGAATAATATGGTTCTCTCCAGAAACTCCTACTTACTATAGAACTTCAGTACAATTTATAGATATTCTTTGTTTAGTGACCTACCTGGTTAACAACTATTTGGACCTCTACTCTGCTGCTTTAACTTATGACCTGTCTTCTTTTTTTGGTACAGGTCTGTGCATCTTATTTATAGAGCAATAATCTTTTTTGTCTATTACACCTAGTTTATGCAGTACTGTAACTTTTGCTAATTGCACTGTATAGTACAATACTATACTTCTATGTTTATTATATATCACAGTACTGCATGAGTTATGCAAATAAGAGTCATCAAGTTGGAGTTTCCTTTGACCATTTCTTCATTCTGAATGAAGAATGTGTAATGCACATACTGTATGCAGTTCCTCATTAGTGACCAATTCATTTAACGGTCTAGTTGCTAGAGTGGAACTCACGCATTAAACAAAGAATAGCTCTATTTATAGGGCCTCAGTTTTCTAGTTTGCAAACACTTTTTTTTTTTGGTCTTTCTGAGACAAGGTGTCATTATGCAGATCAGGCTGGCCTTGAACTCACTTAGTAGCCCAGGCTGGCTTCCAACTCACCACAGTCTTGCTGCCTCAGCTTCCTGAGTGCTGGGATTCCAGGTGTGTGTCACTGTGCCTAGCTATGACATTTTTAAAATTTATTGGGGCCAGGGAGATGGCTCAGTGGAATAAAGGCTTCCCTGGCAAGCTCAAGGGCCTGAGTTCAATCCCCAGTTCTGCAAAAGAAAAAATAAATAAATAAGTTTTTAAGTTAAAAATAAAACTTATGTATTTATTTATTGGTATATTGTCTCGCTACACAGCTCAGACTCATAGTGATCCTCCTGTCTCAGCTTCCCCAGCACTGGAATTGCAGACATGGCCACCATGCCCAGTTTTTGTGGTTGGCAAAGTGTACTCCAGGGCCAGCATGGCATGTGGTACCAGGGATTGAACCTGGATCCTTGCACTTGCCAAGTAGGTGCTTAGGCTGCTGAGCTATATCCCTGGGCCCAATTTTTTAAAATTTAAATTTCTTCATTACATATCATGACACTTGTCTAGCATGTGTGAGGCCCTGGGTTTAATCCTCAGTACTAGGAAAAAGTTCTGGTGAATATTAAAGTGATTTTTTCATAGAAGCACTTGCAGAATCCAAGAGTTATTAGAAATTATGAGAAAAAGAGATGTTGGATGAATTGACAGATTGCATAGCAAGGTATTGTGAAGTCAGAACCAGAACTAAATTTGCTCGCTGACCAATGCTTTTTCACTGAGACCTGTGTATATAATGAATTTTATCTTTGTTAGTTCCATCTTAGTTCATTGACCCCATAAAGCCCCATTATTTTCCTAAAAATCAGTCCTTGTTTTCACATAGGGAAGAGAAGCAGGGAAAGTTGAGTTCCTCAGTGTCTTGGGGCAGGGGTGCTTCTTTGAAGCAAGGAGTAATAATGCCTCCTGTCACTTCCTCTGTGGTCGGCGTGGTATAGGGAGACAGGTGGGGGTGGGGGGCTCACTTCATTTCTGCCCTGTCTGAGCCTGGCAGAGTCCTTGCAGGGCTGAAAGGCAAGGACGCCATGGTGGAAACTGTACCACTGAGATGTATCCGTCTCCTACCATTAGATTTACAACTATAGAACAGAAATGGTTGTTTTCAGTGTAGGAGATGAGAATTGAAGCAGTGTTGTTCGAAAAAGAAGCACAGTGATTATTGGTATGGTGGGTATAGATCATACTAATTGTAAAGGAAACTATTGTTCTTGCTTTTTTTTTTTTCTTCCTGTGCTGAGAATTAAACCCAAGGCCTCAAACATGCTAGGCAAATGTTCCTCTGCCACTAAGCTACATTGCTAGCCCATAAATTGTATTTTTTTTTTTCTTTTTGGCAGTACTAGGAATTGTATCCAGGCCTTCATACAAGATATATCCCAGCCTCCTATTTTACTTTTTTTTTTTTTTTTAATTTGGAGAAAGGATCTTGTTAAGTAGCTGAATTGCTCAGGGTGAGCTCAAACTTGAGGTCCTCCTTTCTCAACCTCTTGGAGTGTTAAGGTGGGAAAACTTAAGTGAGAGAGCACATTGATTTTTTTTTTTGGACAGTGTCTTCCCATGTAGTAAAGCTGGCCTTGAGCTCATTGTGCAGCCCAGGCTGGCCTCAAACTCACAGTGATCCTCCTGCCTCAGCCTCCTGGTGCTGGATTACAGGAGTACGCCACATCTGGCTGTACTCTTAATCACTTTAATTTTTTTTTTTTTTTTTTGAGACAACGTCTCCCTATGTATTCAGGATGACCTCAAACCTGTGTCTCTGCTGCCTCAGCCTCCTGAATGCTGGGATTGATTATAGGTGTGCACTGCCACACCCAGCCATTTAAGTAATTTGTGTGTCTTTTGTATATGAAACCCTTTCAACTCACTAACTCCCTAGATATTCCTGCCTGGCAAGTGCAAGTTCCTGTGTTCAATTCCTGGTACAAGGCCAAAATAGAGAAATAAAAATAAAAATTATATTAAGGGAGTTATAGAAAAGAAGGGTTTTGATAATGTGATTATCTCTTTGCAAGAACTTTGCACATTTTTCCCCTCTTAAATCATGCTGTTATATGAACTTCTATGAATTAAAATTCTAGAGTTGAATGAAATGGAAAGAAAAAGAAATTATTTCTTTTTGTGCTACTTCTACCTGAAATAGCATTCTGCATAAAAGACTTGGTAAATTCTTTGATAAAGCATATGAAGAAACATGAAATTAACTTGAGCAAATATTAATGTAATAATCAGTATATTGCTATATTTCATCTAGCAATTCTGGGCATTAAAGACAGTTTCAAAGCATGAACTCTTTCCTACCTGGGTGTCCAAGTACCTTTCAAGACTAAAGAGGTAAAGTCATCTGATCACTTCAGAAATGTATGTGATGTGTTATTTTATGACTAGCAGGTTCCCCTCTTCCTTCCCCTGCCCAGCATTTCCTTTGTACCCTTGGCTGCTGGGCTCTGGCAGAAACATCTGGGTAAGAGCTCACCTGTGCAGAAAGCATGCGCCTGCACCCACCCCTTTAGGGGTGGGAGCTCTGTGCTTAGCTTCCTCCAGTGTCTATTGTTGTCCAGTGTTGTATAGTTATGAAAAGTTACTCTGTTTCATGGCTCACAATGAGTTAGAAGCAAGCACCATGAAGGAGTTGTAGATGTTGGCAGTTGACGGGAGAAGGGAACCACAGAGTGTGCTGAAATAGTTTAATGGTATCTGAGGGCTCTTTATAAAGGGGACCCTGAGAAGGAGTCAAAAAAAAGTTAAACATGTTCACAGAACTATGTTTAAGATAAATTTTTTTTTTTACAAAATTGGTTAAAATGAAAGAAAGCTTGATATTGCTTAAAATAACTAAACAAGATAGCATTTTATACATTGTTTAATGACAGTACTAATATAAAAACAATAGGTCATTTCATTTTCCTTTCCTATTTGCCTTTCAAATACTGATTCAATGTGATATTTGAATTTTTAATCATTTTTCTTGTTGAATAACTTCCTGTGGTGGGAAAAATGTATATAATTTGGGGACATAGTGATTAATTTTGTCCTGTTTTATTCATTTTTAGTAACATCAATGATTCAGATTCTAAAAGAAGAAAAAGAATGATATGTGAGTAATCCTTTTGATTTTCTTGACTTTAAGGATTCTCATATAAAAGCAATATGTATTGAAAACCCAAAGTAATTACTTATGAGTACTAAGTTTTGTGTGTTTTGTTTTCAAACAATACCAAGTCTAAGTGAGTATTTTAGTTGAGTTGAAGGCTCATATATGAGCTTCCTAATTTCAGTACATGGCTCTTAAAAAGGTAACATATCATAGCCTGGGGCCAGGGAGATGGCTCAGTAGAATAAGCTGTTGCCTGGCAAGTGCAAGGTCCTGAGTTCAATCCCCGGTACTGCAAAAAATAAAAACGAAAATATAGCTCCACTCCTGGTCACTTTGCATACTCAGGAAAATAATGCTGCTTACAAAGATGGTGGAGAGGCAAGGAGAGCGGCCTGGGGTGTGGTTAAAGGAACACGGGTTTGAGACTGTGGCAGGTGGAGTTTTTCTCTGCCACTTTTTAGTTGGATAATCTGAGAAGTATTTTATTTCTCCTTAGCTGTATTGAGATGGGGATATTTTACAAGAATTTTGTGAAGATGAACACTAATATATATACAAGTATCTTATTGCAGTCATCGGGCTATAATGTACCTCTAGTAAATGATAGCATGTATAAAGAAATCAGTTTGTGTACTGGTTTTCAGTCTGCCATGTAACACTTGGATTGGAGAAGGAAAAAGTGGAAGTTATTTCTGCTTGTAATGTAGACTCTAGTGAGATCAAGGAAATTAGAGCAGAAAGACTAAGTCTCTTGAGTACTTCTGCCTCAGGACTTGCATCAGGAGCAAGTGTGCAGCCCGGTTCAGTGTCATGAGCAGTGCAGTAATCGGGAGGCTGAGGTGGGAGGATTGCAGTGTTGAGGCTAGGCTGAGCAGCTTAGTGAGACCTTTCTCAAAATAAAAAATAAAAGGAGCTGGAAATGTGCTAGATATGCCTGGGCCGGATCCCCATTACTGGAAAAAGCAAACAAAAAAACAAACCCAAAACAGCAACAACAATCACAATGGTATATTGAGTTCGTAATGAGAGTTCACTTATGTTTTTTCAAAGTACTCTTCTATATATTATTGCTAACTGATCTGTAAAATAGAACCATATAAAAACTTCACAGATTTATGTAACAATGTGTACCAACTTGAAAAGGTATATTTGAATGAAGCCTGAGCCTGCAGTTCCCACTGGAGCAGGAACTGTATAAAGACTGCATGTCTACTTTTTTGTATATGTGTTTTATTTTAATGGAGTTTTTAAGATGAATTGTCTAAAATTTTGCAATATAGGGCTGTTAAGATAGCTCAGTGGACTAGGTGCCTGCTTAGATAAGTGCAGGGATTGGGGGATTGATCCCTGGCACCTCATGCTGCACTGGCCCCGTGCCCAGGTGTGCTGAACTGACCACCAAAACCCAGGTGTGGTGGTGCACCCCTGTAATTCAGTGCTGGGGAGGCTGAAAACAGGAGGATCACTACAAGTTTGAGCTGCACAGTAAGACCCTGTACAAAATACATAAAAATAAACTAAAGTAAAAAAAAAAATTGCGGGGCTGGGGAGATGGCTCAGTAGAATAAGCACTTGCCTGGTAGCACAAGGGCCTGAGTTCAATCCCTGGTTCCACAAAAAAAAAAAAAAAAAAAAAAAAAAAAAAAAAAAATTGCAGTGTAATCATTCAAAAAGAAAAGAAGATTCCCCACATCCCATCATCAAGTAAAATTGCTGTTTACATTTTGACACATTGACATCCAGTCTCTCTCTTTCCTGTATGTTTTCATCAGGAGAAAATGTAGCAGTAACCATACTATGGCATAATTTTCCTTGTTTCCTTTTTTTCTTATGATGCTGTGATTAAACTCAGCATTCCTAGTCCTTATAATATAATTCAAATCTTTTTTACTAAAAATAAATTAAACTTATTTTTGCAATTTGATTCATATGGAATATGAGTTTTGTGCTTTCATTCACACAGAGCATGTGCGCGCATGTGTGCACTCTGGGACTTGCACTCAGGGCTTTGTCCACGTCAGGCAAGTGATCTACCATTGAGCTAACCCCAGTCATTATACATAATGTTTTACTTGACCATTTTCCCATTATATGTTGTTTCCAGTTTTTCCCTAATACAAATAATGCTTTTCATGTTTAAAGTTGTTTCCTTAGACTGTATTCCTAGAGGAGTAGAATGAGTAAGTCATAAGACCCTTTAGATTATTATGCTGGCAGATTTTTTTTTTTTTTTTAATGTTTTTGGTTGTTGCAGGGTCTCACTGTGCAGCTCAGACTCGTGGTGATCCTTCTGCTTTCAGCCTTCCCAGTGCTGGGATTACAGATGTCCGCTACTATGCCCAGACTCTGGCCAGCTCAGCCCGCCCTCGGGGATCAAACCATAGTCCCTGCGCTTGCCTAAACAGGCGCTTTAGTCTGATGAGCTATCTTGCTGGCCATGCCGGCTGATTTTTAAAACTACATTGAAATGGAACAAACATGTTCTCCTCATTTTAGTAACATGGAAAGTACTGCTGAGAATCATGTCACTGATTTTTTCAGAATTTCTCTTGGGCCAGTGGGAAGGCGTATCTCTTCCTTATTCAGTTCCTAAATGATCTCAGAAAAGGCACATCTCAATAAGAGTTGCTGGAACTGTTCAAAGTGGACAACTATTATGCCACCACTTGTATAAAAAGAAAAAAATGTGTATCATTGTTAAAGACACACATGTATAATCAGTTTCGACAGTGCCCATGCCAGTCTGCTCCTGGGCAGCAGCTCTGAGCCAGTCTTTGTCCGGGCTCACAAATGGTGAAGGCGCCATTTTCTTTTCTTTTCATACCCAGTCTCAGTCTCAATCTCAGTGCACCCCTGGTGTGGGGCCGGCATAGCACGCCAGGGATTGAACCCAGGTTCCGCACCTGCCTCAGCAGGACATTGATCTGCTGAGCTATCTGAGGGGCCTGAAGGCACCATTTTCTTCTTCCCTCCACACTGGCATCTGGGGCTAATTCAGATGAATTACCTACTTTCTTCATGCTGTATGAAGTGCTTAATAAAGCAAAAATGATGAAAAAAAAAAACCCAAGTTAATTATGAGGCTAAAATGGATATAGTGATACAAATAATGTTCAAAACTTTTTGTAGTATCATTATAAATATTCAGTATTGTTTATGAACATTTAAAGTTGGCTTACAGTGATATTTCTGGCCGTCTTAAAGGTTAACTAGCTTCATTGGTGATTTCATCTGGTCTGTGCTGAGCCAGTAACTTGCTGTGCTAAGGTGTCCCTCCCTGCTTTCAGCTGTTAACCCTCGTGCTGAAGAACTGGATGGCTGAGTCTGCCATACGGAAAGCAGAAAGGAATGATTTTTCAGAGGTGAAGTGGTTTATTTTTATTTTCAGTGTATCATAACTTAAGAACATGTATTTTATTCATAAACTTGTTCAACTACTGCCAAAACCAACTTGGCAGATTTCTCTCTGCCTGTCCTACGTGTATTCATTTATCAGTGAATCATTTCCTCATATTATCTCCTAATTTTTTCATGTGTTTAAGTTTTTAGGTATTTATTTTTATTTTAAATACTCATAAATAAAGGCTGGCCAAATAGCTCAGCGGATTAAACCACCTGCAAGCCGGCGCAGGGCCCGGGGGTTCTATTCCTGGGCCTGCTGTGCCAGCCCCAACCCTGGGGTTGCTGAGACGTTGACACTGGGCCTGGTGGCGCATGCCTGTAATCCCAACACTTGGGAGGCTGTAAACATATGGATCACTACGAGTCTGATCTAGTAGTGCAACCCTGAGGACCCTGTTATCCCTTCCTTAAAATAGAGAAAAAAAATTAAATACTCATAAATGTATTGAGTGTTTTAGTGTTTGACTCTGTCAGAGTCTGCTACTTATTGTTTGTGTTTTGGCATTTTTGGTTTTAGTCTCTTTCTGAAGTCCAGTAAGGCCTGATTTGAGGGTGTAGCTCCCCAGTGATTGGCATTTGCTTCTACCAGGCTAGAATTGAAAACTTCTGCCACCCATTTTAGATTAATTTTGACATTAATGAACACAGACTATAGGTACATGTATCAGCATGGATACATTTCACATATAAGTAAAACAAGCAGATGGGAAAGAAATTCATACTGTGTGTTGCTATTTAAATGCAGTAATAAAAGCCATCCCAAATCATAAGTACCATGCAATGGGATTTCAACCATATTGGAAATGTTTTTTGTTTTTTATTTTCATTTATGTATTTGGTACATGGTCTCACTATGCAGCTCGGACTCATAGTGATCCTCCTGTTTTCAACCTGCCCTATGCTGGGATTACAGACATGTACCACCATGGCTGGACTCGATCCCAGCTCAGGGCACCCAGGGGCAGGGCCAGCAAGGCATGCGGGACAGGGATTGAACCCCTGCCAAAGCAGGTGCTTAGTCTGCTGAGCTATCTCGCCGACCTGGAAATGTTTTATTGCAGGAGCTGAAGAGAGGATACATATGTACTATTATTTTAGTCTGCATATCTTCACCACCTAAAATCTTTCATAATTAATTGCTAGGGACTGGGGCTGGAGCATGTTTGTACAAGGCTTTGCTTAAACTGCCAGCCCTGAAGAAAATCACTGAAGGTAATGTGATTCTCACGATGCTGCCACTTTCCTGTCCTCGTCTGGGCTTTCTTGCTGATCCAGCCCCTTTTGTTACCTCCCAGTCAGGTCCTTACAATCAGATCCATTTGTTTTCAGCTGACCAAAGGGAAAGACCTCTGATTCCATAGAAAGGAAAAGGCTTTCCTCACAGCTGGCTCCAAGGACATGGAGGGGCCTCCTTTGCCGAAATTCGCCAAGTATAGGGTTGTTGGGTAAGAGGGGAGAGGGAAGGCAGTGAGATAACAGATGTCTCCAGACTTGCTGTATCCCTCCCAGCTCTCCCCTCTCTTCCTTTCCAGGGGAGAGGAAACTGGACCCTCACTTCCTGGGCCAGCACCTGCATTTTGCTTCTGGGCTGGGGAGATGTGGGAGTAATGTTTTATGCCCTACGCCTGAAGAAGTTTGGAAAAGCCACTTTTCTCTAAGTGGAAAAAAAATGAAAGTTCTATTTTTTTTTTCAGAACCAGGGATTGAACTCCGGCCCTTGCACTTGCCAGGGAAGCGCTTATTCTACTGAGCCATCTCCCAGGCCCCAAAAGTTCTATTTTGTAATGTCAGTTAAATTTACAACATAACTCTTACTTAGATCATTACAAGCTGATGCAGTCACATACAGGTTACCAGTACCTTCCCAAACTAAACAGCTGTGTTCATACGAGCAGTGCATAATTATCCAGACAAAAATTCAATATACGTGGTGGGAAAAAACTAAGATCTTTTTTTTTTCTGAATCTTACAAGGCTTTCCGTAACAACAAAATAAGCTTTTAAAACCCCCATATTTTAGAGTATCTAACTTAAGCAAGGACTAGATTTTTTTAAAAAGGTAGCTTATTACAGAGAAACAAGCATTCCTTTTAGCCTGTCTTAAAACTGTTAGCATTAGAGCTGGACACCATTGTGCTCACCTGTAATCCTACCACTGGAGGCTGTGGCAGGAGGGTTGCTAGGAGTCCAAGGGTACCTGGGCTATATCGTGAGCTCAGAACCAGCCTGGACTATGTAGTGAAGCTTCTTGTCTCAAGAAGCAAAACAAAACAAAATAAATGGTTAGTTTTAGTCCATATAAACCAATCCCTTAGCAGACCAGGTAAGTTACAGCTATTAACTTTTTACATATAATTCTTGCTATAATTAGGTGTTTTAAAAAGTGGTTTTTTAAAGGGCCAGCTAGATAACTCGGGCCAGATAGTTCAGGCCAGATAACTCATTGGATTAAAGTGCCTGGGTGTACCATGCTGGCCCTGGCCCTGGCCCCGGTGTTCCTATTTTTTTTTTAAAAACAAAACAAAACAAAACAAAACAAAACAAAACAAAACAAAACAAAACAAAACAAAACTGAAAAGCCTTGCAAGGTTCAGAAAAAAGATCTTAGACTTTTCCTATCGCACATGTTGAATTTTTTTTCTGGATAGTATTTATTTATTTGAGTTCTCCTTATATATACTACTGACTTTAATCTCAAAATTATGACCAAATACAAGTCTCATTCACCTTAAGACATATCATTAACAGCTCATTTTTTAAACTGGTTGACCTATACTTTGAAAAGTTTCTATTTCTAGATACTTATCATTCTTTTAGAATAGTTAACTCAAACTTATTAAAGGATCAGATGTCCTTTGACCTCATTTCACAGAGTATTATATATACATATATTAACCTAAGAAATACGTTTAGTAGGCCTAAGAACATCATCACTTACAAGATTTTAGGAGGCAAGTATATTTGAATTCATACCTAGCAAATGTCTTTTGTAGTTGAATTTAATTATAAACATCTCAAGCATTTTATTTACATACCCATCTAATTAGGTCCTGAGTTCAATCTCTGGTACCTCAAAGAAAAAAAAAAAAAAAGAAAAACAAAATCCATCAGACATCAGACAAGCATAGCTCACTGTCTCGAGCCATTTCTTTGCTGAGGAAATAAAATCTCTCAAGAGTTGTTATACTTAAGGTCCCATATACCCAAATACAATCCAGATTGGCTAATTTAGCAAAATGCAACTTTTGCTTAAGTCATGTGTACTAAAATACATTTGGATTATGTTTTCTTAATTAGTGAACATTGTTGTTTTATCATGTAAATAATTTACAAACACAAGCACATATCTGCACAATTATACATAAAACACAGATGTAGATTTATCATTTACTTTTAAAGTTATAACATTGGCATGATTTCTTTTACAGTGCTGAGCAATTATTTAACCTTAAATTTGCTTATCTGAAGGTAGAATTTTTGATAGAAAGGAGACAGACTTACATTTCCTGTTCATTTAATCTGAGTTTGTGTTCCCTGAAGGTTTTTTGCCAGAAGGTAAAATAGCTTTTTGTGAACTTAAAGGGCTCTTATATCAGGTTTTAAGACATTTCCTACTGTGGTAAGTTTTAGACAGATCTGGTCATAGGTTTACACATTCTTTCCTGGTTATGTTGCCCAAGTGCTCTAGACTGGAAAAAGAAACTGTTTTAGAAACAGTACCTTCCACTGAGCAGCACACAAAGCAGGCTGTCTGTGGCCAGCTCTGTCCATTCTTGCTGAGGAGTGGAGGCTGCAGCAGAAGAGAAACAAGCAGACCAACAGTTTTAACAAATAGTTGAAAAAGTCAACTTAGAATGAGCCAAGGATGCTTAGTCAAAATGAAGGGAATAAAGTGTACTTTCAACTACATAGGCCACGTGGTATGCCAATAAAATTCTCTTTTATAAGTCAAAGGTAACCAAGACTTCTGTAGGGAGCTACAAGGTGGCACAAGTGTTTTTCCATTCCTCAGCAAGTTGCAGCAGAGATCTCCAGAGCACCTCAGTGTTTCTAGGCTCTTAAAGTCTTTCCATTCAGACTTCTCACGTAGTTGAAGAATCTTAAACTCCCACACTGGGTCACAAAGAAGCCTCAGAGTGGCCCTGAAAGCTCTGAGATGACTTCCACAAGCCCCAGATGGGTTCATAGGAACCCCAAGAACAAGTAGAAGGAAGGCTTATGCCAGTATCTCTGTCTGATGTATCTAAGCCCCCAAGTGGATACTGCCACAGAGGGCATTGCCTGCCCTGAAATGGGAAGCTCCCCAGCCACACTAAGTGCTCTGTCAGGTCTTAGAAGGGGCCAGATTGTCTCCGGCCTTGCCTTCATATGGTAGAAGAGGCACAGCTCCAGTGGCTCCCTCATCGTGGAATCCTGTGTATAACGGGTCCAGTTAGTACATGGTTTCTAGAGGGTATAGAAACCTTGTTGCCCAACCTAGATATTCTAGATGGTTATCAAAAGAGAAAAATAAGAGAAACCCAGACAAGTTAAGTCAAAACAAACCAAATGAGAACTCCGAACAAACCAAAGAAAGACCTGGACTGTTTTTTTTCTACCATTCAGTCTCTTCTCACATCGGTCAGTAACCCAAAATGATCTATGAGAGATCCAAATGGTGAAGATACTTACCTCTTCCCAGATGGCACAGCTGAGGAACCTAGGAGAATGTCTGAATGCCCAATCAGATGGGGGAACTTTCCAGAGTGAAACCAGACAGAGCCTATCAGTTCCCCAAACAGCGTTTTTCCTTTCACCAACAGGAGTGTTTATAGGCAGCTGATGCCATGCACAGGAAAGAACAGAAAGTTCCTAGGATGCAAGTGTCCTGGCTACTGGACTGTTTCTAGAGTCCGGGCCATGGGTTCAGGAGGCCAGAAGTAGCCAGTTTCTTTTCCAGATTGCCTGCCCAGTAGGACCTCAGAGACCACTGCCTTGCAGGCACTTCTAGCCGATTCACCAAAACTTTTCTGCCACTTGTGTGCGTACAAAGGCCCATTTGTTACTACTGGCTGCAACAAAGTCGGCCATTTATATTTGGTGAAAAGGAAGATGCTTTATTCAAAACTAGCTCCATGGAGATGAAGGGCCCTCAGTTACTTCAAATCACCTTCCCACGTACAGGTATGTTAAAGTCTTGTAAAGTCAGAAACAGAAGGGAAAGGAAATAAGATGAGGAAATGGACAGGCACAGCTCACTTCATTGCTTCCAGAAAGTTTCTGCGCTCTCCCTTTCCTTGGAGAGGAAAGTGGGCCCTGACCTCATGGACCAGGACCTGCATAGTCTGTTGCTTTGTGTGGACTGAGGAGAGGACAGGGTGTTTTTATGTTCTCAGCATGAAAAAGTTCAGAAAAGTAGCTTGTCTCCAAAAAGAAAAAAAAAAAAAGTTTGGTTTTGCACTGGAATTTGCTTTTTCTTTTGTAATTTCCTCACAGCCTCAGCTTCGTCTTCATCGCAGCATGCCTCAGAGGCCCTACCGACTCATCAGCACTGGCGTGTGACTGCAACTATTTTTGCCATTTCTATTTGGAGCTTGCGTTAACTTTTTATTTCAGCATGTTAACTACCCTGACAATTTTAAGGACTTTTTTTTTTTTTTTTTTCTCCTTGAATGCCTTCAGGGCACTTTTGCATGGCTGGAGTGTTGTGGGGATCGAACTACAGCAAACTGAGGCTGCCAGCATTGTGGAAGCAGCCACTTAAAGAACTGAGCTAGGGCTGGGCCCCCTACCCTGACAATTTTAGGTTTTCATTTTAGAAAATGGAAATATTTTTAAATGTCATTTTTTTATGGCATTAAGGAAAAATTTGTCATTGCATTCGTCTGAGCTGGAGTTTTATAAGTTGTTTTGTTGATCTGTTTCTTCTTCCTACCCTAGCCTTTATTCCTTCCCTTCCTCCAAATCCTGTATGAGTAATGATTCATTGCAGGCCGGGTGCAGTATTAGGAGATTTTTAGGTTTAGGTAAACTCAGATTCCTAAGACTTTTCTACTAGCAAGTTCTCGCACTTGCTAGGCAAGTGCTGTATCCCTGAGCTATACTCCCCAACTCCATATGACTACCATCAGCCATTCCTGGCTCCAGGCAACAGAGAGAAAGTAGACCAGTGCATGTCTTATAAGATAGCAGTGTCTGCTTCTCCATTCGCAGGAGTTCTTGTAGCATTCCATGCCAGCAGTAAGCCAGCAGTGAAGTTTGGCACAGGGAGAGGAGAGCCACACTGGAAAGTCCCAATGTGGAAGCCTTATGGTCCACAGAAACTGTCTATTGTAAAAGCTCCATGAACAAAGTTTCCAAAGTTCCTACAAGAAACTATCCCTGCTGTCACCACACCCAAAGCCTTATACCGGGCATTTCCAGTTCTCCTGGTCAAAGGGCTGTTGTCACCCTGAGGCAATAAGTACATGGTGATATTATTACACACCACCTTATCACGTTGCGAGGGGGCCTGTGCTGGAAAGTTAGATAAAGGTCAAAGTCTCATACGGAGAAAGATTTTGTTAAGTTTTTATGCATGAACCCTTTATACCTATGATAAGTGTTTTCCTCATAAAATGTTTCTTGGGAATCTGCTCAATGCAAAATGAGGTGTTTTGAAACTAGGTAAAATTGATAGGTGGGCAACTAGCTTCAGGAGAGGGGTATGACTAGGAACTACCCAGGGAGAAGTTCCCAAACTTGTGCTACAGGCATTATATTTCCCATGATGTGATCTTATTTAAAAATTAGTGATAGAGTAAGGCATTCTATTTGAGCTCTTGGCCTCACTTTCTTAATATAGATCATTGCCTATGTCTTTTTATTAGAATTAGGCATTTCCTTCATCATAGCCAAGGTAGTCATGAAAGTACAAAAAACAAAACAAAACAAAACAAAAAAAAAAACCAACAACCCCAAAACATTTTATTCATAGACTTACTGTTGATGGGCATGTGTTCTTTGTTGCTTCAGTTTATTACCATGGGGCAGTATTGCCCATGAGTAAGCCACATGAGCTAGAATCCATGCCTTGAGTCAAAGAGATTGTAAATCATTCACATTCTTTTATTTTTGTAAATATTTTAGAAAATTATGATTCTCTAAATTCTGACAAGGAATCAATGTTGAAATTACTGGGGGATATATTTGTAGTATTCATGACACAGCATATCCACTCTTAGTTTAGTCTGAAGTGGTATTTTTTATTTATTTATTTATTTATTTGGTATTTTTAAAAAGATCTTCCCATGGAATAATAGAACTTCTCAGGGACAACTGTAGTTGAAGTTTTAATAAAATAAAATGTATGAATATTTTAAAACACATTTGAAATTTACTTTGTTGCTTTAGAAATCTACTAATTTAGAAAATTAGTGTTGTGGGTAGAAAAGCCTGTATTTACCTGCTCATCATGTTGTGCTAGGTCCGTCTTCTTCAGCAAGTTCTTCAGCATCCTTTCCAGAAGCATTCCGCAGCTGAGAAGGCGGGCTATGCCTCACCTGCTCCTTCTTGGGCCAAAGACCTCAGAGTTAGTTGCTCATCTTAATCTCCATCTTTCCAAAGGAAAAATAAATTCAGGACTACTCTCACTGGACTCAATAAAAAATAATTCATGTAATAAATTACTTTTCCCTTTCCCTTACTTTCTTGCCCCTCCCCTGCCTAGTTCTCCTTTTCATAACAAATTCTTCGTGATTCTCTTCACTTTGATGACAATCAATGATTGTATGACCATATGTAATGATTATATATGAAAATATCTTAGTTCTATAAATAGGACTTTGTTCTTTGAAACAAAATAATGGGAAAATAAAGTGTTATTGGTTAACCACATAAATGAATCTCACTGACTTGTAAAATTTTATGGTAGTTTTTTGATCAAGATGGATTTGTAAGTATCTAGTACTTGCATGGCACACCAGGGATTGAACCCTGGCCACTGAGCTGTGCTCTGCTTAACCAGGCACTTTAGTCCACTGAGCTGTCAGGCCGGTCCTGTAGTTACTGTTTTAACTTAAGTATAATTTATATATCCCTAGTTAGTTTTAAGAAAAATCCTGACATCGTTTTATTTCCTCTATAGATATTACTGCATCTTCTCAAGACATTAATGACTTAAATTCATACTGGCCAGGTGTGGTTGTGTGTTTGAAGTATGTACTAGCTACTTGAGAGGCTGAGACAAAAGGATCAGTTCAGCCCAGAGTTTGGTGGCCAGCCTTATCAACATAATGAAATATTCTCTTATCTCACCCCCCCAAAAAACCAGACAACTCATACAGACCTGTGATACAATTACTACCTTATGATAAATTACTAATAACTCCCTAAGGTATAGCATAGTCTGTTTTCATTTTTTTCCTAGTATTTTATTTATTTGTTTATTTGGTAGAGGGGCTTGCTATACAGCTCAGACTCATAGTGATCCTCCTGTCTCAGCCTCCCCAGTGCTGGGATTACAGGCATGCACCACCATGCCTGGTCTCAGTGCCTGGCTCAATGTGCCCAGGGCAGGGCTGGCATGGCATGTGGTACCAGGGATTGAACCTGGGTCCTTGTCCTTGCTAGGCAGGCCCTTAAACCACTGAGCTATCTCCTCAGCTCAGATGTTGTGTATTTCCACCAAGAGGTACATTATATATATATATATATATATTTTTTTTTTGTGTGCTATAACAGCCACTGCAATCACTCCCTTAACTCACTGATTCAAAAAATTTATAAAATAACATAATCCTATCATTCATTTACTAGCTTTTTTTTTTTTTTTTTGCGGAACCGGGGATTGAACTCAGGCCCTTGTGCCTGTGCCTGCCAGGGAAGTGCTTATTCCACTGAGCTCATTTACTAGCTAGAATACCTTCATAAAGAAAACAAGAGAAATACAGAGAAAGAGAGTGCAAAATAAGATGCTAAGAACGTATGTGATTACAGTCATTGCTAGTTAAAAGGTAATGCTTACTGGACTAGATGTAAGCACACCAATATATACGTATATGTAATTTGTAAGTGACAAACCTAGAATATAATGACAGAAAGATTGAAAGTGAATAAATAAATTTGTTAGGCAAATGATTGATAAAAGAACGCAGCTATGTTAGATTAAAAAGCAAGAACGTTACACAGTGATGTATGATTCATTTTTGCCAGGAAGACGTGTAAGAAAACTTTCTTTATATTCACTGAGCAATGCCAGATATATAGGGTATAATTTTCCAGAACAATGAAAAGATATTGAAAAATCTATCCTCACAGAAGGAGATCATACATCCTTTGCAGTTACTGATGGACCAGGCAGGATATTAGGCTATAGAAGAGTTGAGCAACATACTTAACAAGCTTGCTTTGAGAAGTCTATATAGCCCATTCTCTAAGAGCCCACATGAACCATCCATAAACACTGACAGTATATCCAGGCATAAAAGGTTTGAAAAGCTTCAAGTTCTCATTTAATTTGACAGTTTTGGTATCCAATTAGCTGTAATTTCTATGATGAATTATGAAAAACATATAGTATAAATGTTCACTTCTCCCTTCAAGTACTTAACAGTAAAATTTTATTTCAGATTCTATCATGGGGCATTTAAGTTGTGCCTCCTAATCAACTCTACTTGCAGGTGATATATTACATAGGTTTCTGGCCTGATGACATTATACTGGAAATTTGTTTTCGTTTTTATACATCGTGGTAGAGAGTTACTTTCTAAATCCCTACACTGGTCTCCTGACCCCCAGATCCAGCCTGACTTTTGCACTTCACATCCAAATATCTCACTCAACTTCATAAGAATATAACAAATTCTGCTTCACTTTCAGGGCTGATCTAAATGATCCCATTCATGCACAGAGAATGTGGGGACCTTTCAGCCAAATTCCCAAGATTTTGTTCATGATTTGGTAATGCCTGGGCCTGTGAAAAGCAAAGCCCAAGATTAACTAAAAGTAGCCCAGATTTCTGACCAAAATGTTCTTAATGTTATATTTGCACCTGAGAAAAATCAAAGTGGACCTACCACAGGGACATCAGAGGAATGGTTAGGCAGTGTCCCTTTGGGTCCACTTGTGTCAACATTTTGATTATAAACTTCAGTGGTTTTCTTAAAATATGTATCATCAGGGCCGGCCAGATAGCTCATTGGATTAAAGGGCCTGCTTAGGCAGACTCAGGGACCAGGGTTTGATCCCCTGCTTGCCATGCTGGCCTCGCCCCCAGCGCACACTGAGACTGAAAAAGGTGATGTGCGCCTGTAATGCTTAGGAAGCTGAAAACAGGACGTTCACTACGAGGCTGATCTGTGTAGTGAGACCCTGAAGACCCTGTACTAAAC